TCTGCAATTTGCAAAGAATCCATTTGTGAGAATACAAAACCCTGTTAGAAGAGGGGATCACAGTTTACATTACATCTCAGTGCTGTTTGAGGGGGAAAAGGGCTCTATTATTACCGCTTCTCTGATGGATAAATATGAAGAGTTTTTCACTGCGCATGTCTTACCTGTGGCAACGTGGAGGCATTTTGGCGTGTCCACCTGTAATCCTGTGCTTTGTGTTAGTCTTTTGAGTGTAAGATGCACAACAGGAGTTGGAGGACCAACATCCTGCCAAACCTACCTGATCACCTCCATGAGGTATAAGCAGTGCTGTGCGAGTCCCGAAGGAGCCTTTCGTGGGAATTATTTAGTTCTACATCAGGTTGTCAATTTGTTTCTTAGTTACCTGGCTACTTATTTCCTGGCTGCATAATTAGTGAATACTAATGGGATAAACTTCTGAAACTTCTCCTTCTTTCTACATGGCTAGACAACACATAATCATGTTTAAAATCTAACAGATTAGTAGCACTCAAGTAATGCTTTTTATCTGGTCTACTGTTTGTATCATTCTTTCCCTTCAATAGCTTTTGTATCTATTGGCCAATGTAATGCAAATTTGGCAGAGGAGTAAAGGATTATAAAGATATGAAGTTCCTGTAAGCTTTGGGCAAATGGGTGTCCCCAGTGAAGGAAGGGCTGACGTGTGCCTGCAAGAGTTACCTGCTCTGGTTAATCTGCTGCTACCCCCTCGGCGCAGGTGGCTAGTCAGCGCACTCGTAGGGCAGTCACATCGTACAGAGTCTTGCATAGTCAGAGATTCGGAGGCACGGTGGAGGTGGGGAGGTAATGTAGGTTGGGAACTCAGGCTTTTAATACAAGTGAGGTCTTGTAGACACAGTGAGGGCAGCCCTGGTGTTTTCTGAGTGGAGGATGCAAGGGGTGGAGGGAAGGAATTGTAGTGTATGCGAACCCATAATAGACCAGGATTCACTAATTCCACTGCTTGTTGAATGACCTCTCATATTAAGACAACAGTAATGAAATTACACAGAAACGTCCGTAGCGATGAAACAGGTCCGAGGCCAAGCTGGGAAGTAAAATCAGCCAGGCGATCATGGGATCAGCAAAGGATATAGCCTGGCACAGCCGTATCTGTAACGCAACTCAGGCAAGGGCTGATAGCAAGGGCCTGAGCTCAAATGCAGCTTCTGAGCCAAGGGGCAGAGGCCCCAGATAACACGTCTCGCAGCTCTTTCTCACACACCACTTTTCAAAGCAGTCTGATCCAAAGTTACACAATGCCACCGTATCAAAGCTGACCTTGAAGAGTGGCAGCCAAACCCCTGGGTGGGGGGCAAAGGGGAAAGAGATTGTAGCGCCTGTTTGTGCACTCAGGGCCTGATGGTACACAGTGAAGTAGCTTTAAGGATGTAGGGTTGTTGGTTTGGGGTTTTTTTTTGATTTGGAGTTTCGGACTTGAGCTCCTAAATCTGTTGTTTCTGGAGAAAAATTGCACAAAGGGCTGAATTCTCATTTAGTCAAAAAACCAGTGATCCAGCTGTGGTTTCTCATATGCAGATAAATTTGGATCCTATCCTAGTAAGACTTTCACCACATCTAGTAATTACCTTCCATACCTAGCTTTGTCTCTGCGGCTTCTCAGTTGGTGACCCGTTGTTTATAAGACAAAGACCACCTGGTTGTCAGAAAAACTAGCTAGAACTGCAGCAGAAAAAGCAGAATCAGAAGGTGGATGGGTTGCTTCTGACCATCCTTATTCATAGAAAGCAAGCTATTGCAGGACACCTTGAAGGAGCTGTTGGAAGTAAATGTGCTGGCTGAACCATGTGGTAGTTGGTGTAGATCCTTGGGCAGAAGCACAGGTATCTGAGTGCCCTTGTGTAGACAAGTTCTGGGTCATATTCATAGAAGTGTTCATCATTGAACGTTGCTGGAAAGAAAGGTCATTTTGTGGAAAACTGAGTTTTAACACGTGTAGGCTTCAGGCATTTTAATTAGACAGAGAACTAGTTTGCTACCTAAATATTTCTTTCCTGAGCTTTACACTTTGATCCTGCAGTACGCTATGGAGGATCTTGGCAATAGGGGACAGCTCATTGCGTTCAATCCTCGATAAGGGGCTACTACTGCTCAAGTGAGCATTAGAAGACATACAAGGAGGTCTCACAGGATTTGAATTGCTCTGGAAAAGGATTTGATACTTGAAAGAAAATTCTCATCTTTTCTGATCTCTGCTAACCCAACCTAATTGAAAGCTTGTTTGAAGGTTGGAAAGAACCGTTATTTAAAAAAAAATAAATAAATCTGCAGCTTTGCTTCAACTCAGCAGCTATAAACCATAACACGCATTTTTTTCTGTTACTCTGAGTATGTGCAAGCTGCTGGAAAAAATTAAGACAGTACAGGATAGTTATATTAAAGCCAATAGGAGTCTTCAGTTTCATTGTGATTGCGATGTAAATTGTTTGTCAGTAAAACTGAACAGTTATACTGAATGTGAAGTGAGGTTTATGAGAATGTATGTCTGCGCCTGGTGTTACACTCACAGGTTCTTGTTTCTCTCATTGCATTAGGTTTCCTCCCCCTGTGGATAAGCAGTAATATGATTAGCATATCGGCAGAGGGAATTTTTGGAGAAAAACAGCATGTCCTTTTTTTGAACGGTGATAGAGCAGAATTTCTCTCAGACTGTGGAGACATTCCTAACTTATTTAGTGTCATATATAGCTAATATTATTTCATAGAAGACAGATACAAACCTATGTAGTTAAATAATTGATTTTCGGGACTGTTTCTGTGATGGGTGTTTATCTTTGTTCTGTCACAAACTGTTATACTGTGCCTATCACTCCTACTATTAGAAGGAGCTCAATAATGTCGGACCAGATGCAGTTACAGCGAATATATCATTTCCCATGAGTAATTAATTTTGCCGTTACAGTGTTTATCTCGCTTTGGTTTGAATTTTTCCAGCTTCAGTTTCCATTAGTTTGCTGTCTTCTTCTGTTAGATGACAGACAGGATAGGACGGTACCAATTTTTCCTATGGATCTGGGGGGTGCTACAATAGGGTGCATCTGCCTTAGTTTTCTGGTTCATTCCTGCGTCCGTGCCCGATTGTGCATACTGCATGCACGTTGCTTCAGTCCCAGCTTCTCTTTCGGATCAAAGCAGCCGGTTCCCTGTAGGAGAAAACCTGGGTGTGTCTGGAGGCTTTACAGCAGTTACTGTTCCAGACGGCAGTAGAGATGAGGCTGCACTAAATTTGGCTCCTTGCTCTCTCCCCAGTCCTCCATCGCTGTCCCAACATCATCTCAACCCCTACGAGCCCTCATGGTGTGCAGCACATGCCCTCAGCATCATGTTACAATAATACTGTCCTCCCATTTTTTTTGGCACTTGGAATGGAAAAGACAGGGGGGAGGGGAAAAACAAAAGGAAAAGTGATGTTTTAGGATTACAAGGGCAACAGAGGAGACTTGAAATCAGTGCTGTGCACATGAGCACAGCCACCACTGTTGTTGGTCCTGAGCAGTCTGTACGCGAGTCACCCTGCACCCCCAGGCTGGGAGGATGCCTGGGGAGGACACGTTTAGAGGAGTGGATGTTGCCTTTGAATCAAATTCCCTTCCGTGACAACCAAACGTTTCCACTGATGTAAATGGGCTGCTTTAAGTGCATTTAGAGGTTGGTGCGGCCACAATGTAGTCAGTGGAGGGAAGGGAAGGGATTTTCACTGAGAGCTGGGACATGCACAGGGGCATGACAGACAGTAATGAGGGCTGCGCAGGTGAGGACAGATCCTGCCCTGTCCTTCTTTTTGGCTGTCTTCGTATGAAGCTGTTCAGATCAGCAAAAATGAAGGGTGTTGCACTCTCTATTTCATTTAGTTGTGGTTAGCACTTAACAAAAAAGGAAAATTGTATTTTCCTATCTATCATTCCATCTCCCTCTTAGTAAAAGGTATACTTGGGTGAACAAGAGAGTGACAGGGACATACCTTAAGTGACAAACCTTGAGCTCCAGAGGCAGGATGGACAGTTCTGTATTTCTAATTAATGACATTCTTCTTCTTAGAAAGTTTGTCTTTAATAAACTGATTTTTTACAATTATGTTTAAATTTGTGAACAAAGTCTCCACTATTGAAAAATGATAGTTATGCCCATCATCTGTAGGGCTGTTTACTAGAAAAGCATGCTACATCAGGTAGAGATGAATGCCATGATTACCATTATAGGATAATGGAGCCCTGAGTTTTTCCGGCTCTGTTTGCGCATTAGCCTGAAATGAACTTTCTTGCTCAGTGGTTTCATTTGTATCATCATTTTCACCACTAAACCATAAAAAATATACACTCCAATTCCCCGACCACTTTTGAGCACTTCCTGAATTAGAAAAAGATTTCATGACTGCTTCTGGACTGAGTATTATCTGCCTTCATTTAAAGTATTGGCTTGTTTTATGTATTAACTATTAAGACTTTAGTCAGTTATGATGCTTTTCACTGTATTTTCAGTCTTTTCCTCCTTGACTGTTTTGCCTTTCTCTGTTATCTGCAGGGAGAGTCTCAGCCCTGGCAAACTGCTGCCCCTGTTAAGGCTTGATCAACTCTTAGTTATACCAGTGTGAGAAGAATGTGAGGTGGTAGGGTTACAATTTCTTTTCCAGTAGAGCTACGTTGCGCAATTCCTCGCATGCACCATTTATAGGCGGACTAACTGCTACAGCTTATTCTGCTGTTCTATGAGAGAATAAACTATTACAATGTGAGCACCTTTTAACTGATGTACCAGGGATGGCACAAGCTAATCATACTCTTCTAGCTTCTGTAGAATAAAATGGTGCAGTTTTGGTGTGTAAACACGTTCCCCTAAGCCAAAAGCTTAAAACCTGATCTGTCGGGTCACTGTGTTTCTCCACTGCTTTCCTTCACCCCTATTTCAGGCCACGTATACGAAGTATGTAGATCGCAGCATGCTGCGTATCGGGTGTCTTCGACAGCTGGCAACACACTTGCCGTACGTGCATAGCACCAATATTTCCAAATGCAAGAGGGAGCCCAAAAACTTCAAAGGTTTTATAAGGTTTGCTCATAAATTATGTTTTCTCCAGGTGGTGTTTCCATGTGTTTTAAAGTTTGAAAAAAATATTCCTTGTTTTCAAACTGAATAAATGATCAACCCCAAAAAGCAGACGCTGTACTGACAGTGTATCAGCACTTTTTTCAGCTTTTTGAAGTCCTGAAGGGCACTCTGGGGACTATTGCTTTTTTTTTGCCAACAGTTCTGTAATATAGTTTCTATTTTAATTTTATAAATTTAATATACAATTTGTTGTGCTATCTATGCAGACTTTTTCTTTTTTTCTTTATTTTTTGGTAAGGAAAATATCTGCGAGAAGAAATAAATGGAGCCAAAGCAAGTAAACCTGACATGATAGAATCTGGAAACTATATAGCAAAGGTACTTCCCATTCCTTTTATTGAAAGCGGTGCCCATGCTTCCTCATATTTTACTATTGTATTGTCATGTATTTCTTCATATTGTGAATTATTTTTCAGTATTTTCAGTTATTGTTTTGTTTACCTTTTTAAAGTGAAATCCAATTATTGTTTTGTGTACCTTTTTAAAGCGACATCATTTTAGCTATTTATATGATGATTTCTCTGAGGGTAGTAAATGGAAATCCCAACTGAGTTTCTGTCTTCAGTATGCTAATTGCTAGACAAACAGAGCAAAACGAAATGGTTGCGTCTTGCAGCGTACTGTCTGTTTTAACTATTTGACTATGCTCCCTCTAAAAGTGTTTACAACTTCCAAAACAAATTGTAGGTTGGTCTTGAGGGATTTGCTGCAATATACAAATAGAATCTATTCTTTTTCCTACCTAAATGTAGTGGAATAATTTCACTTGCCTTAAGTGAAGCTATCTGAAGTTCAGACTATTGAAAATAAAATTTAAATCAGATGACATAGAAGGTTCTGGAGAGAATTCAGATAATTTAGTTTTGTTATTTAATCAGAGCATGACAGGCATATGCATTTATTGATGTAATACTGCTGACTGGAAGAGTCAATGCGCACAGAAAGACCACTGGAAGCAGCAGCTGCCACTGTCAACAGATTAAAATCAAGGGAGAATTTTAAGTATGTTTCTATTAATTGAATATGTAATAATTTTACTTAGAAGGATTTTAATTACACTTAGTCTCAGTTCCTCATTACGCACTTACACAGACTAAATGTCCGTGATCCTGGAATAAAATATGGTTAGAGAGAAAAGAAAATGGGAGAATAGCAGAAAAGATATTTAAAAGGATTGATAAGTAACTTAGAGTAAAGACACGATGTCTGTGTAATTCTCACAGCACAACTGTGAATGTGAAATAAGAGCAACTAGATTTTCACTACAGACTTCCTGGGAGGTTTTTTTTTTTATTATTTTTATATGAAACAATACGATATAAGCCAATATATACACCGAGGTTATCTAGATTTTGGTCAGGTATGCCACATCCAGAAGATCAAGCTAAGGTTGCCTGTCCAAACACAGTTCTGTTGCTCTATAGTCAGTCTGTCTTCTGCTCTGGGCGAGAAAGTATTTGGCTGTGCCTAGGTTACACAGTCAATTATCAGGCTGTCAGGTCTGAATTTTGAATGCTTGCTCTTGCATTCTGGTGCTTGTCTTTTATTGAAGGCTAGAGTACTTCTGTAGATCATGTTCCTTGAGAGAGTTGTTTTTATTAATTTGTTTCAGAAAAAAAGAAGTTAAAAATCAATTAAAAAATCACACGCTGAGTGAAACAGATTTCTGTTTTATTCCATGGCTTTGACTGAACTCTGGGACAGGAGAAAAAACATGTTAAGAAATGGCACTGAGTGGAAACAAAGCAGTATGAGAGAGAGCAATGCTTGTGACTGATTTAAGGCAGAAGAGCCATTTTGCAACTAGGGGCGGGGGACAGAGATCCTATTAAAAAAGCCCAGATTGTGACTGGGACAACGCAGGGAGAGACTGCTTCCAGACACAGAAATAAATCTTGCAGGCAGCTTCAAGCCATGCACAGTCTGGACGGTGTGGCAGACAGCAACCCTTCCCAGAACTGCTGGAGAGCATCACGGCAGAAACCCAGTCATTTTCAAAGCAAAGAGAAAGTGCTTTGTTAATTTTAAGTGGGAGTCAAGCACACCAGTCACTGCTGCAGCTGCAGCAGCCACTTTAGTTTGGGAAGAAAAGCCACAGTTGGCAGAAGGTAAATGGGCAAAACTTGAGTCTTATTCTTGATGGCAAGAATATGTGAAGACGAAGAGGGGAAATGATTGCCTCATCTTGCTGCCGCCATGGAAGGAAGCTGTCTTGCTGCAGAGGTGTGAAACCTGGAGCGCAGCACTTGAGCATCGTAGTCAACACTAAAAAGTGAAAGCCTGTAGGCACAGCAGGGTCGCAGGCTCTGGAAGGTTATCGGCAGGCGGAAAAAGGCTTTTGTCTTTGCATGTGAGAGGTTAGCATTAGGCAGAGCTGGTCATAAGCTGTTCATGTCAAAAAGGCCTTGCCAAAAACCCCCCTAAGAATGCAGGGGACATGTATTCATCTACAAATACATGTTTACAAGCAGACCGCACCTCCAGAATAAACTTTATTGGTGGCGACATGCCTTCAGCGGTGGATAACAGTTCAGTGGAACAAACTGCTTTGTACATAAACTCGTTTATATGTATATTGATCTGAAAAGAAAAAACAACCAAATAAACCTGGCTAAACTTAGATGAAATGTGGAGTTTGATTAAATTATTTGTGTAGTCCTGAAGATTTGTCCTAAAGATATTATCATAGAATGACCAGAACAGCGTTACCCAGCTCCAACTTGACAATAAAGGGGCAAGTGTCAATTTTATCTGTGTTTTGAAGGAAAAAGGACAGAGATTCATAAGGTGTTACATTAAAATACATGAAAATGGATTAATGAAGCAGAGACAAGAAAAAGAGTCCAAGCTGGTAGCAGGGAAATTGCTGGCCTCCTAAAGCAAGACAGGTATAGATTTGTTGAGACAGGCTGAAAAAATAATCTAGCTCCATTTATCGCACACCAGCAGCGGAGGGCTGCTGTTCGGCAGTCCGTCCAGACAATTAAGGGAAGATTTTCAGTCCACTCACCAGCTGGTTTTTAAAAGGAAGAGGGCGAGGGAATCCCTTGTGATGCTCGATATTGGTACTCCTAGGTGAGGTTGAATAGCAGTTCCATCTTGCCACACCGCTTCAAAGGAAAAGCAGGGACGGAGTGATGTACTATGTCCCCTGAGGTGTCACTTGATTGTCAGCAGCTAAAGGCTGCATCAAATTAACCCTCTGCCTACTCCGGATTAGAAAAGTGAGATTTGATCAGATCTTATGCATCTTATGCCCCTGGATTCTTCCGTTCCTTGCATCCTGGAGCACTGTCTGGATGATAGTGGGCCCAGGACCTTCTTTTCCATTTTCTCTGCTCCATTTCACACCCATCAGTCACTCTCCATCCCTGTCAGGGAAGGCTGTTCCCTGGGGATCGTGGCGTGAGGAGTGGGGGTCTCCCCACGGGGCCAGCAGGGCAGGCGGGGGGGCAGCTGGGGTCGGCCCAGAGTCCCCATTGCCAGGCATATCCCCACTGACATGCAGGGACGAGCTCAGTCCACAGGGTCAGGATTGGGGTCCAGATAAATGGGTCCATGGCCAGGCGCAGGCGTAGCTGTGACACAGCTGCAGCGCACCTCAGGCAGGAACCACGGGCGAGAGCCTCAGCTTAAAAGCAGCTGCCTGGGAAGCAGGACAGCCCTTGCGGAGGTCTCTTCTCTTTCTCTCGAGGCCACCAGCTGTACTATCTCGAAGCTGGCCCTGAGCCCAGGAGGCTGAACGCCCAGGAGCTCCTGGGTGCTCTGCAGAACTCATTTCACATATTTGATCAGGGACTCCTTCCTATCTGCCACCGACGGCTGACTCTAGCTCTCATTCCCTCCTCCATGTGTGGTCTTCAGAACTGCCTCACCTACTCCATGCTATCACTAAATTGGGTTCAAGGCAAGTAACACTTTCTTTGCTACAAGGTCAGCTTTTCCCCAGTCCTTTGCTTGCCAGCTTATGCCGGCAGGTGGTTCTTTGAGCCTCCAATGCTACCCGAATAACAGTGCTTTCTGCTGAATCTATAAAGTGTATTTACAACTTAGATTGCTGATAAATCTTTGAGGAAATTCTGTCTGCAACCTAAATACATTCTGGTTTGCCGCAGACTACAGTTTATTGGGCATGAATTTAAGTAGTTTGCAGTGGAGTACAGCTGAGCTGTACAAATATTTGTTACCCTGACTGTCAATCTTACAGGTTGGTGGGAATGTCAGAATAAGAAACAGACTATTAAAAATACGTGAAGTTAAACTCTGAATCATCTTTAGCATAACCAAGTTAGAGAACAGAACAAATGAAACATAGATTTTTTTCAGTACTTACAATTAATTCAACCTTGGGGTTCATAAACCCAATATGATCATATCATTGGAAACCGACATCAGAGATGCTGGGGACTCACAGAAAGATGAAGAGACAGGTAGATGGAACAAACCGCCAGTGTGATTTGGCTCTTGGAGTGTGCCATTTCAATGACACCCTGCACATATCTACTGTGGAAAATAATGTTTGAAAAAACAGTGCTACCACAAGAAATAGCCGATGGTTACACAGTTGGGGGTTTTTTTACATCAGAAGGATGCAGATTATGGAGAAATAGTGCCTTATTTAAATACCAGGAAGGAGGGAGATAAAGGGCATTGATTCAAGTATTTTGTATGAGGAAGTGTCAGGCAGCGAATACGGTATGGAGCAGCCTTAACAGCAAGAGATAACTGCTCCTGAATACAGCAGCAGTGGATTTATTGCCACCTGACAGAGCTGGTGTTGATGCTTCAAGGCAGCACCTGTAGGCTCAGGCAGCATTTGAGAGCAGTTCAAATACCATCAGCTAATACATCATATTGTATGTGAAATTCTGAATTATGTTAATGCTGTCTGTTAGCATCTCTGTGTTTGGGAAAGGAAGTTATGAGTAAATGTCTCCCAACAGGGCTTTCCTATAAACCCCTTGGGTTTGCTATAAACCCCTTGGGAACAGATTTTATTCAGAATTTCATATGGAGGACTAGAACTTAAACTATGAAAGAAACAGACCTCTTTCATTTTCTCTTTCTTTAAAGCATCATAACTAAGCAGATCCTGGACAAAGAAAAGTCTAGGCTAGGTGGGATTGAGAGTCTTACACTCCCTATGTACTTTAAATGCTTTTGAAAATCCTACTTATTGCAAAATGCATTTATTTAATGGGTATCAGAAAGCTTGATAAAATAAACAGAGCTTAAACTAACCACTTTGGGAAATATCTTGGTAACTTCTGTTTTGCAGAGTAGGAGGTGTTGTTTATTGAGTCAGAGAGAAGAACATT